AGGTGAGAGTAGGCAATTTACAAATGAGCACCAAGGAATCTTTTTTGGGTGATGAAAATGTTCTAAAATACAACTTGTAGTAATGGTTGCACGATTGCATAAGTTTACTAAAATCATTGAACTCACGATAGGTGAATTTTATGATATGTAAATTATACCTCAATAAAACTGCTAAAAATAAGTTCCCAGAAATTCAAACAGCCTATCCACCTTCGACTCCTAACAAATAAAATTCTTAAAAATATCCAAACAAATAATTCCAAAGAATGGTAGTATGCCTACTATTTCAGATTTCAATTTATGAAAATACCAGATCATTACTTCACTAACTACTAAACACACACACACACACACACACAAATATACTACAGCTGAAGGTCACAAATCGGGCTGTTTTGCCCAGCTGAGTATTTGAAATGGAAACTGGAAAAGCAGCCTAGTTCGTTTTGTTTGCCTGCTCCTAACTGCAGTCTTTTTAATAATACAGATTTTTTGCCTGAGAAAAATGAGATCTCATACAGTTCAGCAATTTAAGTCATCTAATACTGTACCAATATTAGGCACCTACATTTATGTATATTATTAGTTATCTGGTTTCTGCCTCACTTATTTTTTCTGAAGGAAGATGTACATTGGATTAGTGATCTATCAAATAAGTCTAACATTTTGTAAATGTATTTGACAAAATATTTTTGCATACTTCAAATATGTGCTTTTATAGTTCTCAAATGACCTCTTTAATTGGCAAAGTAAATACTCAAGAAGACATTGGCTGCTGAGATAAAAACATTCATGCATGTTGTATATAAGAATAAACGCATATCATGAGATGTATACAACTATACATACATACATATAAAATTATAAAACTAGTTATAAAACTATATGGCATTGTTCTTAGGACACACTTAAAATGACTGCTGATACCTTCTACTAGTCATCTTTAAGAAACTATTCTAATAACATTATTAAACTCAAAGTAATTCTCATGAATTAAAAAGCCAAATACATACTCTGTATTCTTATTTTTTAAAATTTCTTCAAAGCCATAAGAATATATCTACATTATTAGTGTGGAAAATGATTTGCTGAACACTTAGTATGTGTTAGGCACAAGTCTGATAATCCTTCCAATAACCATAGGAAGTAGGTAACTTTTTAAATTCGTTGAACCATAAGAAATTGCTTTTTTGTAGATCAAAATATGCATTACCCACAGTTTCATAGCAAAACTAAGTCCCAGTCACACAATATTTTGGTATATGTGCTGCCAAAGCAAGCACACCCAGTCACACAATAAGTGGCAGAGTACTACCCAAAGTAATCTCTCGACAGATTTTTCCCATGTTCAAAATGAGAAAGGCATACCTTCCCAGCAGTTTGTGAATGAAATAAATTCAGACAAAAAAAAAAAAAATTACAGAAAAAGACAAAACTATTTCCCAAAGAGCCTCTGGTTGGCTAAAAGTTCAACAGACACTAATTCTAGGCCCAGTTTCCAAAAAAGTCAATATTATCTTGTATTGTTAGAAACAGAGGGTCTGTCTACATCAACAAAAAGAACAGTACTATATTCATCCCAATCAGCCATGTTCAGAATACTGAGAATTTGAATATTCCTGAATATTCCTGAATATTTGAATATTGCTCAGGACAGAAATGGCTCTGATACTGGGTTGAAACAGGAAACCATTAATGAAATTGTTAACATTTACCAATTTAGGAGAGTCTACACCAGAGGAGACAGATAAAAGGAAGGACCTGGTTAAGTTAGACAAACAATGGATTTGAGGGGAGAAGACAGTTTGAGGCAAAAGTTGTGGACTCAGCTACTGACAAGTTATATCACTTTGGTTACTTAATTGGAGACTCAAATTTCTTTCTTAAAATGGAAATTAACTCTTAACCTCTATCTCGGTGTGGTCATGAAGTTTAAATAACTTATATGAGAATCTCTGAAACAGTAAACAGTGAGTGTGATATATATAAAGTATTATTTGTATATCTGAAATACTCTGTACATAATGGGAAAGGTAGAACTGAATTTACTCTGAGGTGTTTCTGAAAACAGGACTGAAAACCAAAGGGTGGAAGTTAGAGAGGCAGAAGTCATCTTCATGGAGCTGTCCAACAATGAAAGAGGCTGCTGCCGGAAGCTCTCAGTTATCTGTCCAAATGTGCCCGAAAGAGATTGGCTACATAAATTAAGGATGTCACAGAATAGTATATTCTAGCATTGCATTCTTAAGTTTCTTCTCAACTCTAAGTTCACAATTAAATGATTTTAGGCCATTTCCAAAGATAAAATTCACACTCAAATGATAAATACTTGTTACTACTAGGAATACAGAAAATAATTTCAAAAGGGTAGTGCCGAGGTAATTATGAACATCAGCTGCACCACTGAAACAACGGTGAAGAGAACATTCATTTGTGATAAGCCTTCGTGCATAAGTATTTGTAATGAGAGGGATAAATTCCATTACTATTCAGTTAAACACAAAACTTCAGTTCCACTGGCATTTAGAAAACATCAGAAGGGTTAATTTGTCACAGTTACACTTCCCTCCCCATGCTAACCTCACCCATTTCCTCAAGAATGCACACTTTGATACCAAAACAGTCTGCTGAAACTTAAAAATGTTCAGCTGTGACAATCTGATGTTTTGATAACTGGCTAACAGTTATCAAGCAAAGCAATTTTAACTTTTACTTGGGGGTAAGCTGGGAGGGTAGAAGGGTACTCTCACTAACAATATAAAAATTAATTATATTTTATTCATTCCATCTTATTCTACCAAGACTAAGGTAAAATATTCCTAATGAATATTCTATGATACAGATTTCAACCACCAGGTGGCATAATTTCAGAAAATAAATAAACCAAGAGTAAGCAATACCTTAACTCTAGTAAAGCGAGTAAACCTAATAACACACTTGAGCAAATCTATAATCACAAGGGGGAAAACTCATACTTTAATACCACTCAGGTTTTCTTTAGAAAGATTCTGTTATTGTGTGGTTGCACCAGAAAGAAATTTATACTACAGTTGCGATTTCTAATGACATTTTAAAATGAGCAGAAAACATAGCTAGAAAAGTCTCCTGTTCAGAGTCTGAAGAACCTGTTCTCCAGAAAAACCTGTAAACTAATACTTAAAGCTTTCTAAAACACATTTTTGAAAGCCTACATTTCAGAAAGCACTGGAATTAGTTAAATTAGTATTTCTCCAACTATTTCAAACTATGCACCATATTCAGCCAGAGGTAGCAGATAGCAGGGGACTTACCTACCCTGTCACTTCTACTTAGCACACCTGAAGAATGACCAAATCTAAACAGATGCTATTGACTAGTGTTCTCAAAGCACAGAACATGCCCCACTGCTACTAAGAGCAACATTTGAGCTGGACTGTAGGACTCTAACTATCGCCACAGTTTCTTAAAGATGGGCCAAGCTGTAGCTTTCCACAAACAAACATTTATCAGCACTTACTAGGTGCTGAGCACTCACTCTGCCAAATGACATGAATTTCAGGGGGAAAAATTAGTTCATATACCTCAAAGAACGCGCAGGCCAGTGAGAGAACATTCTTGTAAATGCAAAGTAAATGCTCAACAAATATTTGCTGACTGCTGCATTTAGGATTATCACAGATTTGAACACTGGTTCAGACCTCAACATAGTTACATCAACTAAACAAGTGTAGAAGCCTGTATGTGTAGGAAAGGCGATACAAAGGGTGTCACAACAGAATTCCTTTGCCAGCGCAAACTTCTTTCATGCATTTAAAATTTTAAATGGTTTCCAGAACTTGTATTTGCTTAAAACTTCATAAAGCACCTATTGTGAAATCACAGGCACGGCAATATTTAAACCGAATAAAAAGGGATGTGAATGTTCACTCTCCTTGAAAAGTGTACTGATGGAGATCTTTCGGGATTCTAACATAAAACGGATTGGTGGCAACTTCCACGGCAGCTGAGATGCGACCTAAAGGCCTCCCATCTTCTACATGAAAATTCTAAACTACTAATCAATAACAATAATAACCATACAATGTACTGAGCGTTCACTGTGTCACTGTGGTAAGGGCTTCCCTTCTCACAATCGATACGAAGAGTTATACCCATTTTACAGGCGAGGCAACCGAGGCTCAGGGAGGGGGGAGCCCGCCCAAGGTCACAAGACTCGAGAGTGGCGGGACAGATTACAGCAGAGTGAAAGATCTAGGCCAAAGTCTGCCCTCAACTACCAGCAAGTCCTCAGCAAAAGCCTGAGGGCGGAGAGCTCAAGACGCACCTCCCGCGCTCTCCCGAGCAAAATCTCCGGCGCCGAGGCAATGGCCGCCGGGAGGACCGGGGGCCGAACCTTCCAAGTCCCAACCTCCCAGGGCGGCAGAAGTCTCAATTGGACGCAGCACAGCAGGGCGCCTGAGAGCAGAGGGCTGGAGGAGGGATAGGTGGATGTCCCGCGGCCTCCCTGGACGCTGCGGCCAGAAAGAGAGCGTTCCTCAGAATAGCCCGGACTCCCGAGACTCACCCTACTCGATGCCACACAGGAAGTACTGCGGCGGTATTCACCAGCGAATACTCCTCACTCGAAAGGCGATTGCCTGGGAGCCAGAGTCGGGCCAGCTCCGGGTGGCGAAGGCTCCCGCGCCCTCCACAGCTGACCCTCTATTCGTCCAACCCCAGCCGCTCGCGGTCTCTGAGACGCATGCGCCACCCGGCTTGGACGGGCCCATTTTCGAAAGTTTTAGTGGGGGAGCGAGTCCACCGGAGTATGACAGAACCTAAACAGCAAGCTGAACCAACAAGCCAGATGTCGTGGCTGAGATTAGCTGCATTGCATTTAAACAATATTCTCTGCTAGGAAGAGTAACGTGAGAGCTCGCCGAGTTTTACTTCTGATGCTCTCCCCACGCGACCCCCTGCACTGGTGGTACAGTCCAAAGTTTGGGTCCCAGTGGGCGGGGCTCGAGGGCAGCAGGAACTGTAATTGGCGGCTTTGAAGGCGCAGCGGGCGGGAACAGCTGCTGAGGAATGAGTCCGGCGGGCGAGGTGGGCCGGTAAGAGACTCCCTTGCGGCATGGAATCGGGTGCCGGAGGGTGGCGGGAAGCTTGAGGAAGCCAAATCCCAGGCGTGTAAGGAGACTTTTTCGCGACTGCCGCTCGTCCCAAAGTGCGGGATTGGCGCTTGGTCTTTGCTGGAGGTGGGAGACAAAGACTATAAGGTTGGGGGCTGAGGAGAAAGAGGGCAGTGACGCTTGGTCGGACGTCACATCCGCCCGTTGTGGGGCGGAGTCTTACGTAATATGTGCGTCAATCCTGGCACCGCCCCAAATTGTCACGTGATCGGCTACCCTTCTATCCCAGCCTTACGTTGCTGTTTTTCCCAAAGTTAAGTGTTTCGATTTTTTTAACCTTGGCTTCCGTCCTTTTTCGTACATTTCGCCTCTTGCGTTATTCCTTATTGCAGCTCTTGAGTGTTGTAGATCTACAGTAACAGATCTGAAATTAAAAGGGCTCTTTTTTTGGTCATACGTTCATTCGACAAACATCTTGAGCACCTACTATATATATATGGCAGGCACTGAGCTGCTAAATGCTTGGAAATAATAAGAAATTATAATCACGGAATTAGAAGAGTTCACTCAAAGGTTTTCCAGCTTTAATGGTGAGACTGAGTGTGCTTTTTCTAACATAATTCTTTAGAACAGCTTTCTGCGAGCTTTACCCAAAATTGAGAATCATCGGAGGCACTCTAAAAATGCAGAATCTCAAGCTGTACTCTGTGACCCTCCATCCCCAGTTTAAATTGATGGGGCCCAGGAACCTGCATTTAAACAAGCCCACCACCCCCACCAGTGTTTTCGATGAGAGAAATTGGTTTGATATTTCACTGACTGCTGCATTTAAACAAGCCCACCACCCCCACCAGTGTTATCGATGAGAGAAATTGGTTTGATATTTCACTGACCGTTGGACCCTAA